TAAGCGACTATATAGTTAAGCGACTAAGCGACTAAGCGACTGAGCGACTAAGCGACTAAGCGACTGAGCGACTAAGCAACTAAGCGACTGAGCGACTGAGCGACTAAGCGACATGTTAATAATAATACAAAATAATAATAATATTCTAAGATAATTGATAAATAATAAAATAATAAACTAATAATAAATTCGTTCTATAACAATATTAAAATGTTAATCATGTGAGCTTAAATAATGCAATGTGATTGGTAATTTCAGTGATTGCTGAAATAGAGGGCTCTGATTGGCTGATGTTAACAGACAGACATTCCACTTTAATATGGGTAATTATTATTTTTGAACCCAGACCAATTTATATATAACGTAATAATATTTCAGTCTGAATTCAAAAATAATTACCCATATATGGATAATTTCCTTTTTTGGATTTCAGCAACAACTACATATTGGGGCATATTATATACTAATTAATCAAACATATGCGAGTAAAAATCAATAGTACAGATTTTATGCATAGATCAGCAAACATTAGTAATTTAAAAATTCATGTACTAGTAATTTTTTTGTGTCAATTTTCATGGTAAATGATAATTATAATATAGTAAAGAAAACTTACAAGCTTAAAATTTTAATTAATTAAAAATTTTTTATTACTTAGTAAGATTAAGCTAAAAAATGAATTTTATAATAAATTTATTTGTGTAAACGAAAATTTAAGCTTGTAACTTTTTTTACAACATTATAACTATTATTTGCCGCGAAAATTGCCACAAAAAAATTACTAGTACGCAAGGTGAATCGATTTTAAATTACTAATAATTTATCGATTTTGCCGATCTACGCATAAAATCTGTACTATTGATTTTTACTATAATACCTCGCATATATTTGATTAAATTAGTATATGAAATACCCCAACTACGTATGTAGAATCTTCTACGTATAAGTGTCTTATTTACACAAAATAAGGTTCAAAAAATTGTATATAACAAAAATTGTTATAAAAGTTGTGCTTTGCTCATTTAATATGTCACAATATCTTTTCATCTTCTTTTTACAAAAAATGAAACATCTTTGTTGCATATGCATCTTATTGCTAAATTTTCTATTCTCATATGTTTTAGTTAAAGCATACACTCTTACATCATTATTCACATAGTGCCTTATTAATTGGCAAAAAACTTTATATATTAGGCGGTAATACTAATAATATTAGTATTCAATTTTCACCCACAAATGATAATTTCTTTTATCTAGATATTTTTGCCGCATTTAACACGACAAATATTCAATGGACAGATCTGTCCAATTTTTTGTTGGTACTACTAAAGAAAGCAGAGAAGCAGTATCTGCTAGCGGTCCAAACAATGATATCATTTTCTTAGTTGGTGGGGTATTTGAGAATTCTAGTTATGGTATTCCTTTAGTTTACATATTTGATACTGTAAAAAATATGTGGAATACCCCTACTATTCAAGGGATACAGCCACCCAGACGCCAAAATTATTATTCAGTCATCGATATCACAGGTAAAATGTACATTTTCGGTGGATTATATAATGTTGAGACAGGAAATTCAACTTCTGGCTATGAAAATAGAATGGATATTTTAGACACTATTAAATTAACTTGGTCACAAGGGTCTCAACGCCAAGCTCCCACATCGAGAGATGGATATTCTGCTACCTTATTACTATATAGTATTATTGCATATATAGACAGATTCGACAGTATTACTGGTAGTGCTATGAGCTTAAATGAGGTGTGAAATTTAATTTAGTTATTTTTTATTAATAAATTATTTAGTAACTTATTGCTATATCTAAGATAAATTTGATAATACAAAAAATGATACATGGCAAACAATGCAAACAATGGTAAACTGGTGTTAAATGTTCGGGTAAAAAGTTTAATTTGCTAAAGCAATAAAATAGCAAAGACAGAATATTAGTAAATTAAACTTTTTACTTCAGTATTATAGTCAACTTAGCACATTGAGATACCTAATATGACTTTTTTTTTTAGATTACCGTTGGAACCATTCCTGATGAACATGGGTTTCATTCAGCAGTGCTTGGTAAAGCTTAACATTCCTAAGTTTAGTCCACTAGCTCTATTATTAAATTACTTATACTGTATACTTTTTTATAGAATTAAATAATGATCATATTAGCATTTATGAGAGATCAGTAGTTCCCGAACTTACTGTGTTAGATATATGTAATAAACTATATCAATAGTTTATACCAAATGTTTTTGGTAATATTCTGCCTATACTTTCACTTCATACTGCTAATGTGGTCAGAAGATATATGATCATTAATTATGGTATATAAAATAGTGTTTATTTCTTGTTTACATATATTCAATGTATTATTAATTAAATTTGTAAGTTTTATCATTTCACAAGAGTATATAAATACTGATATGTATATTCTTGATATTGGAGACGATTCTGAATATAAATGAGTTACATTATTCAATTCTAACCCACCAAATCAATCATCAACTCCAAGTCCTAATCCAAAATCTATTTAAAATAGAGATAGTATTAGTATTAACACACTAATTGAGGCTATAGTAGGAAAATTTATAAGTAGTATCTTGCTTACAATTTTTGTATTGATAGTTTATTGGCAGTATAAAAGAAAATATTCACCTGTATACATATGTGCCTAAATTATTTTTAGCTTGCCGTAAATAAAAATTGCCGAAAATATTTTAGGTGCCTAAACTGTAAATAATATTAGCTGCCTAAAATATTTCGGCTGCCTAAAATATTTCTGGCTGCCTAAAATATTTCCGGCTGCCTAAAATAATTTTGGTTGCCTAAAATGGTACAGCTATTTTCATAAATTCTGGGAGACTCTAAAAAAATTTGCCGAAGTTTATTTGGCTGAATTCTTTAAGTTATAGATTTCGGTATGATTAGTGCAGGATCAATATATTGAGTTACTATTATAGCAACGTCAACTCTTTCAACACTTTATTAAAATTTTTTTGTCTTATCCAATATGTATAATACAAAAATTTATGCCAAAAAAAAAACTGTTCTTACCAATTAATAGATCTTCACTAAAAAAAATTTGAACGTAAGTTGGATTTTCTTAATAAACCTTTGAATTTATAATCTATAAATAAAAACAAAATTTTTACTTCAAGTTCATTTTATAAATCTTTTTATTATGTAATTATCTTTGATAACTTATTGTATAGCAAATTTGTTTATTGAAATATACTGTATCTATACAAAATCATAAAAAAAAAAATTGAAAATTTGCCTTTTTTAATACATAACACTCTGAGTAGGACTAAAAAAATAAAAAATAAAAATAAAAGGTTAAACATGATCAGGAGCTGTAAAAAAATGCAACACAAGAGATGTGGCAACTTAGCATAGTGGTCTAATTGTTACCCTCTCCAAGTGACAGGTCTAGAGTTCAAATTCCACAGACGATAATATTTGAATTAAATTAGGCCTGTGTTCCAGTTGACGGTTATGATTATCAGTTGGATCTAGAATCAAATTTGTAATCTTGGTCACACTATCTAGTTATGGGAGCTTTGGTGCAATAAATTCAGAGAACCAGATTAACTGAAAACCCGTTTGGGAAGTCCCAAGTTGGGAGGTAGCATGATTTTTGATAGTACTACAGGAAGGCTAAATTTGGAACTGAGAACCAAGATTAGAGAACTGAGCAACCAATCTGGACACACTAGCCGAACCGCCAGGTAGATGCGCTGGAGAAAAAGGATATACACTCTGAAAGTATGTACCAAGGGGAGGGTAACTATGAGGCACCTAAAGCCTGGGCAAACTGACCCTTCTGGGTTGCCGGCTGGAAGCAAAGGAGAGACCGATAAAGAATCTAGAGAAGAAGAAGGCCTGAATGTAGGTATTGGGGTTGTGTGAACCAAACAAGGGCAGGTAATTGTAGAGGTTCAATGGTTAGCCCTGACTCCAAGTACATAGGTGAAGCTGTAATGTAATTACTGGTAAGTTTAAGTAGTTAAAACATATGTGGGACATGTACTAGCTTAGCCGGATATTACCTCAGGAGTAAAGTAGCCCTAGGCGCCTAACTACAGTTTGGTTTATCAGAGGTTCCACATGTAGAAGTAAGTTACAATCAGAGGGTTTAAATGAGCAACCCCATAGTTTGGGTTGCAGGTACAGCAGATAGTGTAGAATCTTCGGGCGGACTACTTAAATTAGGCACCAAAAGTGCATATGTGGCTTGATGTACTTTCATTGTAACAAAAACAGATAATCTTTAATAAATTCAAATATAAACATGGCCAATGAGGTCACTATTCAAAAAAAAAAAAAAAAAATGCAACACAAATTGAAATCAGAGATCAAGAATTTATTAATATTTGCTGACAATGTCTTAATAATTATAATAAAGCTCTAGGTATATAATGTTTATTTAAAATGATGGTAATTCATCAACACAGCCAAACCTTTGAAATTGTTTGAGAACTTGACCCACAGAAGACCTGTTAATACTCAAATGTTTAGCAATTACTCTAACTGAAGCCTTCTAAGTTCTTTTAACTATTTCTCAATGAATATGTTTTGAAAAATCATAATAACAAACACATATGTATTATGAATATATATATTAACACCGAAATCAATAACTTAGGCCGAATAGACTTCGGTAAATTTTTTAGAATGTTCCAGAATTTATGAAAACTGCTGTAAAACATTATTAAAAGATTAATATATGTATTAGTGATGGGCATATCAGCAAAAAAAAAAGATCTTTATAAAATTTTAATACTGTATATATTACAAGCTTCTATAACCAAACTACTAAATTCTAACT